TTAATTCCCAGATAGATCAAGAAGCAGAGAAGCAAACAAACGACACAAGTCGAACTACAGGTGATCCAGACATTACACTGGTTACTCTCAGTCCTTAAGGTAACTGTGACTGTGAGGTTAAAGAAAAGTGGTGACAGCAAAGAGAGTTGCACTGAAGAATTTGAGTGTATTAAAAAATATTTCAGGCTGGGCGCGGTGGCTCAAGCCTGTAATCCCAGCACTTTGAGAGGCCGAGGCGGGTGGATCACGAGGTCAAGAGATGGAGATCATCCTGGTCAACATGGTGAAACCCTGTCTCTACTAAAAATGCAAAAAATTAGCTGGGCATGGTGGCGCGTGCCTGTAATCCCAGCTACTGAGGAGGCTGAGGCAGGAGAATAGCCTGAACCCAGGAGGCGGAGGTTGTGGTGAGCCGAGATTGTGCCATTGCACTCCAGCCTGGGTAACAAGAGTGAAACTCCGTCTCAAAAATAAAAAAAAAAAAATTGGTGACAGCAAAGAGAATTTCACTGAAGAATTTGAGCATATTAAAAAATATTTTAAAGAAAATCTACTGAAAAATATGGTAACTGGAATAAATTTAATACCAAATGCTGGAAAGAAGGTGGAGCAAGAGAAGCTCTCATTCATTGCTGGTAGGAGCAAAATGGTACAGCCACTTTGGAAGATAATTTAATTTCTTAGAGCTAAGCATAGTCTTACTATCCAATCTAGCAATCGTACTCCTAGGTATTTACCTGAGTTGAAAACTTACATCCACTTCAAACACTGTACAAAAGTTTATAATAGCTTTATTCATAATTGCCAGAACTGGAAACAATCAAGATTTTCTTACTCAATGCAGGAATGGATAAACAAACTGTGCTACATCCATACAATACAATATTATTCCGTGATAAAAGAAAATGAGCGATCAGTCCACAGAAAGACATAGAACACATGCAAGTGCCCATTGCTAAGGGCAAAAAAAAAAAAAAAAGTCTGGAAAAGCTACTTACTGCATAATTTAGATTATATGGTGGATACCTAACAATATGTATTGTCAGAACCCATAGAAGTTTATGGCACAAGAATTTAAAAATTTATTTAGGAATTAAGGGGATCCTAGGAAAGATTATACATTGCATCAAGAGAATTCTAGCTCTATTACAAATAAATGGATCTATAGCCAGCACCATTAACGGGGTAAGGTAAAAGAAAGGGACATGAGTAGAAGGTATAATTCTAAAGGCAAAGAGAACTGCACATAAGTTTAGTATTCTAGTTGATAAAATTGTTTCCCATGGAGGTACAGGTGAACAATTCTGATACTGCTGCACATGTATACAGGAACACTTATGTATACGGATAGTGGATGGTGGGAATCTTTTATGAACAGAGTGGGAATTTGCAGATAATCAGAGAGAGGAGGCTAGAATGATCTATGTTGCAAGAGTCAGAGATATCAGAAAGAACTGTTTGGTTTAATATAAATACAGGTATTTACATTTAGAAGTATTTATAGATATACATTTATGCATAGTGTATACACATATATTTCTTTGCTCTGTCAACTGAGAGCCTAAAAGAAATGTTGCCCCCCGCCCCATAGCAATGAACCTAGCTAGTCTTAGATCTTGGCTTCTAAAAATTTCTTTAGTCAAATAAAATAGGGCCCCTTGGAGAAATCGCTTATTCCAGGACTGGGGCAGGAAATAGATAGATAGATAGATAGATAGATAGATAGATAGATAGATAGATAGATAGGATGATAAAAGGTGAAGAAGAATAACTTTCTGGTACAGAATTCCAAACAGTTCATATAAATATTCTATCCTCAAGAAGTGGAATGTAACTCTCCCCTCCTTAAGGGTTAGATGCCCATAGTGACTGCCTTCTAGTGATTCAGTATGGAAAGAGGAAAAGACTAACATTATAGTGAAGAAATTTGACAAGGAGCACCTTAGCCAGGTGGTCAAGGTGAGCATCAACTGGGATAAGTCATATTGATAGGATGGACCCTTGAGATGGCATGATGAGAATGGCATTCCTGAAATCTTCCTCCCAAAGGCCATAACTCCACCCTTATAATGAGATAAACATCTGAAATTTCAGTAGAAGATTGTCCTACTAAGCACCTGGCCAGTAATCCTCAACACTGTCAAGATCATTAAAATCAAGGGAAGTCTGAGCAATAGGCATAGCCAAAGAAGAGCCTAAGTACCCATGACAAGGTTTTTTGTAATTATCTTTTGAATGTACACATCTATGCATTCTTTTTCAGTCTATTTTCATTGATTTCAATCTTGTAGAAACAACTTGCCAATCCATTTTCTGGAAATTTTATTTTAGAAAGTTTCTGTTTTTAACTTTGCTTTTTGCATTACATTACTCTCTTCTGGATTTATTTTTCTCCCTTTTGAAGTATATTTTAAAATTATTAATTCAGAGCTAATTGGCAAGTGGCACACTTTCAGAGTCCTTTGAGGCATTAAAAACACTGATGCACAAGCCACAGCCTAAAACAGTTTAATCATAATATCTAGGGGAGGGATCTGCTGTCAGGTTTTTTACTATTTTAAATTAATGTATATAATACATAGAGCAAAGTGGATAAATAACACTAATATTAGGTGTGGTGTTCAATGATTTTTAAACATACACACCTAGAACTGTGTATATACATAACCATATAACCATCACGTATGTCATAATAGAAAACATTTCCACTAGTCCCACAATTTTATCTGGCCCTTTCTCAGTCTGTCCTTATCCTATGTAAATGAATATACTGAATTTTATCAACATTCATTTATTTTCTTGGACTTCTTACAAATGTACTCTTCGGTGTCTGGCTTTATTTACTCACCATAATATCAATGAGATTTATTAATGTTTTTGCACACACCAGTGCTTTTTCTGGTGTGTTGTTCTGGTTGTGTTGTTCCTGTGTAGTGTCCCATTGATTACATGTGCCACCGTTTATTTACATTGACATTTGAATTGTTTTAAGTTGGGGATTATATGAATAAAACAACTATAAACATTCTTGTACATGCTTTTTTGTGGATACATGTACTAATTTATCTTGGGTACATTTATTGGAGTAAAATTGCTGGTGTGTATCGTGATTTAACTCTTTAGAGGACTGCCAAAGTTTTCCAAAGTAGTTTACTCATCTCACTCTCCCCCAGTAACTTATGAGGGTTCTAGTTTCTCCACATACTCACCACTACTTGACATTTGCAGTTTTTAAAATTTTAAACCTTCTACTGGAATATATTAGTATCTCTTTGTGGTTTAATTCATATTTGCTGATGAGTAATGATGTTGAGCATTTTTTTCTGTGTTTATTGGCCATGTAGATATCTTCTTCTGTTAAGTGGCTGTTTTTTAAGCATCACTTATTATTATACACATTTAGTTTTATTGTAACAAAGCAACTTGTACACTTTTAACGTTTAAAACTGAGCATCAACTTTCCTTTCCAGTGAAACAAAAAGAAAATTTAAAAATAAACAGGAACGAAATTACAATAGAGAATGTCAATTCCAAATAAGATCCTACAGGTCCTGCTGATTCTCCCATTGAGTGGCAGGGCTCAAGTCATCATTAGGAGAGAATTTATTTTAAAAGTGTCATCTTAAACTGCGAGGATGTCTGTCAAATGTCACAATTAAACACGCCAAAGGAGAAGCTATGTTGTCAAAATGCCCACTTACCCCACCCAAACATCTCAAACCCACCCTTTGCTGACCTTCTATAACCCCATTTTTTAAAGTTTTTTTCTTCTTTTTTTAAACAAGAGAAAGTAGACAGATACATGTTGATAAATGCTAACTGTCCGTATTCACATAGAGACAGTGTACTCTCTGAGCCCAATATACAGAGAAAGGAGGAAAAAAGCTAGAATTCTATGCACTACTACACAGGGGCCTAGCACCCTCCAGCTTCCAGCAGAGCAAAGGGAGCAGGTTTTTCTTTTTTCCCACAGAGCTCGGAGGTATTGATTCCATACAGTTTTTGTTAAGACAGGAAGGGATAAAAATGAATTTCAAACAGAAAGGGGTAGAGACTCTTTTCCCGTTGCATCCTGCTCAAGATATTTCCCCCCAAAATAAGTTGAGAACCATGGTGTAGAGAAAAGAGACCTTAAAAACAGGGTGACTGAGCACGAGAGGGAAGGAAAAAAAAAAAAAGACTGTAACTTGCTCCCAGGGACTGGAGAAAATTTAAAAAAAGGAAGGTTGGAATCCATCAGTGTTCTATTAGTCATCTTCTCCTTCATCCTCCTCTCCTTCCTCCCCTTCATTATCATCTTCATCTTCTTCACCTTCATCCTCATCCCCTTCTTCATTGATATCTTCTAATCCTTCCTCCTCTTCATCATCACCATCATCTTCTTCTCCTTCTCCTTCATTGTCCATATCAGGAACCAAGTAGTATTGTAATGGGTTTTGCCAAATACCATCTTTGATGACTTCTCCTAATTCATCAGCACCTGCATCAGAATGGTCAGTAAACCAGGTAAAGAAGCTCTCTGGTTCCTCATCGTGCCTCTTCCTGCTGGCTTTATTCTGCGTTTGACTTGAACGTTTCATCAAATCCTTTCCAGATTTCCATTTGATTTCTGTGGACTTTGAAGATGGATCACCACTCTCATTCAGATGAAATTCTTTGGAGAGAACTTTATTTTCAAAGTAAGAATTTTCATAAAAATAAAAATCTATTCTGTAACCTGATTTAATATCTTCAAATTCTGTCACTTCAACTCTGGTCAAATAATGCAGTGCCTCTTCGTCCTCCTCCCCAAGCAGTGCAGACACTTGTGGATGGTTGACAAATGTTGTACCCCAAAATTTGGGATTATGGCGATCAATTCTGACCTCTTCTGAAAAAATGGTTGGCGGAGTTTTTTATATTTCTGTTCTACTTTCAAAATCTCCTCACTGGCTTGTTCATTAAGTCTGTCTATTTCATTTTGTACTTCATCAATGTGTTCAATTGCTTCTTGCTGTTCTTTTTCTTCCTTCTTCAGCAAGCCTGCAGAGGCCAATGTCTCCTCCAGTCCCTGAGCAGGAGGTGGTTTTGGTTTCTTCTTTTGAGGTGGGAGTGGAGACTGGCATTTGGTGGCCATGCTGCTGGGGAAGTCCGAGAACCAGATCACAAGTCTTGCTCGTCTGGAAGCCGGCAGAACACTCAGCATCACTTACTTTTAAAATCTGAAAATAATCCCAACATATAGTTAAGATTGACACCCATTATGTCAAAAGATTGCTGGGACCTAGAATCTATCATACATGTCTCACTCTGCAATTTTACCTTTATGCTTTGCATCTCCTTGTCATATTGCTGCTTTCTGAAGTATTCCTGAGCTCATTTTCTCAACTCACTAAATTATCTTTTGGATATAAACATTTCAGACCACCTACTGAAGTATGCATCTTAACAGTCTTATAAAAAAATTTTAGTCTGTATTATGGTTTATATTTTATGTACACAAAATGGCCTTGTATCTCTTTGTGAGCATGAAATATCCTTCACTAAATTCTCACTCTGCCACTAATTTTTTTTTAATGTTTCATGTCTTTCACAGTGTGGAGTTTCCTTAAGTGCTTGGTGGTCTTTGTTCTGTTCTGACAATTGTGGTTGAGGTTTCTGGTTAAACAAACTTCTGTCTAATTGCACAGCCTACTTTAAGGGTGGACTACCTGTGCAGAATATTCTACTCTCTCCTATATTTACTTAGAAAGAGACAAATTTAGGATTGCCTAATGAACAAGGTACGTCATTTGCTACATGAATATTTCCTGTTCTGTCTGGACATTAGCAGAAATCCAGGACATTAATCTCTCCTATCTAATGAAGGAAATAGCAAAGTTCTTCCCCAAATGAAGCATATTCTATCTCCCTGCTTGCTAACATTAAGAAGACTGACCCCATTTGTTTCTTAGCAGGCATGCCCAGGCTGTCCCAGTCATGTCTTAACTTGTATTGCATACCTTCCCTTATTTAGATAAGTCAAATCCTTTCTAAGTAACTTCCTCTTTTCTTTCTTTGTTCCTGCCCCTTACCTATTTAAGAAAGTTTTAAAGTACTAGCCAATCAAGTCTAGTTTAGACTGTGAAGTCTGGCTCCAGCCAGTAGATGTAGGACACAGCAATAAGGACACAGCTACTTAAAAGATAAATATTTCTGCCTTTCCTTTGTTCATTGCACTCCTGTGGCAAGACTGTTGGTGAGTAGTGCCCTTTCTGCAGAAAGTAACATGCTTTACTAGGAAAACTTACAGTCCGAGTGCTAATTCTTCTTAGTAACACCAGAGAATAAGCATTGATTTCCCACACCTAAGCTCTCATGTCCATGATTTTTACCTGGAAGCTGACTCCTCACCATTGTTTCCTGGCCCCAGGGAAATGTCTGTGTCTGAAAAGGGGGCTGCTTGGATGAAAGTCTGAATCCACCTAGCTACCTGAACTGTAATTTTCCCATTAACCATATTGTCAGTTAACATTGGAAACACTTACCTTCTTACTTCCCTCGTCTCTGAGTGCCAACCCACCTTTCCAACAATAGTCTCTTCAGCCCTTTTTGGTTGTTGATTCACTCTACAAGACAATCTGATATACTTTTGATTTTTCAAGAAGTTCTTAATTTTTATTTCACCAAGTTCCATTATTCTAATATAGTTACTATATATGTACATATACCTTTTCAATCCATCTAATGCTTGAGGCAATAGAGTGGGTCTGTTGCATATCCTTGCTACTGAATTTTGAACTGGAATTTTAAAACATCAATTGTGGATTTTCAATAAACATTTCATCATGCCTTAAAAAACACATTAAAGTAAAATTGAATTGACATGGAAAATGTGAAATTTTTAAGAAAATCCAATCTCCATATTCAGTTTAATTTAAGAAATATTTATTAAGTGCCCATTTTACAGCAAACACCATGCAATTCTCTAAGGAAGCCAAGATGAGTAGAATTAGTAAATCATGAACTCTGACCTCACACATTTAAATATGTAATGCTTGTGTAGAGTAGTCAGAGTAATCATGAAAGAGCATGTGACTTACTGGAGTTGCTGAGAAGCTGAAGTGACTAATTTTGGAGTAGTAGAGTGGGTGGATAAGGAAACCTTCACAGAGGAAGTGGCATATAGGTTGGATAAACACAGGTTTGCCAGAAAACACGAATGGGAAAACTATGGGGATGCATGTTTATCTTTAAAATCAGAAGGAGCTGCATGTGCCCAAGCACAGGAGGGAGGAAGAGGAAGCATGGCATGTTTGCCAAATGGTAAGTAGCTAGAATTACTATTGTGTAAAATGCAGATGGAGAGGAAAGAAGATGAAGATGAAATATTGGGCAAAACTAGCTCTTGAAAATTCTTACTAAAGAACGTGAATTTTATTACTTAAGTTATGGAGGACCTATTGAAGACTTTTACATGGAATAGTGGTATCATCAGAATAATTTGGATTTATTCAGGTAGTAGTATTGTAGATGAATGGGTGATAAAAATTAGTATGATAGAGACCATTGAAAATTATATGAAGGGAGCCTAAACCAAGGCCATGTTTGACAATGGAACTAGAAAGAACAGTTCTGAGATATACAAAGCAAAATATGCAAGACTTGGAGAAAACTTAGATATAAAGAGGTAGAGGATGGACAATTATGTCAGTAGATGGAGGATGGAGGATGGAGAGTGGACAGTGACTCCAATCCTGGATGACTAAATAGGTGGAGGATGGATAGTGACCTCAGTCCTGGATGACTGAATAGATGGAGAATGGGGGATGGACAATGACTCCAATTCTGGATGGCTGAAAAGATGGAGAATGGAGGGTGGACAGTAACTCCAGTCCTGGATGGCTGAATAGATGGAGGATGGAGGATGGACAGTGATTCCAATCCTGGTTGAATGAACTGATAAAGGATGGAAGATAGACAGTGATTCCAATCCTGGATGGCTGAATAGATGGAGGATAGAGGATGAACAGTGATTCCAATCCTGGATGGCTGAATAGATGGAGGATGGAGGGTAGACAGTGATTCCAATCCTGGATGGCTGAATAGATGGAGGATAGAGGATGAACAGTGATTCCAATCCTGGATGGCTGAATAGATGGGGGATGGAGGGTAGACAGTGATTCCAGTCCTAGATGAATGAACTGATAAAGGATGGAAGGTGGATAGTGATTCCAATCCTGGATGGCTGAATGCCTCCTAACCCTGGATGTCTGAATACATGGAGCTGAGTTGGTAGACAATGATTCTAGCCTTTGATTTCTAAATGGATGAAGAACTGCCAATTCAACCTGGAAAGAAAAATAGGAGCAAGAGCAGAAAATTCTGTCACACAGAAATGGGACCATTCATTCAGATTTGTTACATAGGAATTTGAATATACATATATTTGAAATTGGAAGACAGAGATTTTAAGGAGAGCATTAGATAGTGTAAAATTCCAGAGAAAAGCCAGCTAATATAAAGAGAAAACCTTAAGCACTCAATTTAGCAAATGCATAGTGCAATGAATTGGAATACACAAGTTTCTTGCCAAAGGTAACAACACTGTAAAACACTTTTTAACACCTAGTCAGAGAAGTTCAATATATTTATTCAGAAGTGGATTGTCTAGGGGATACTTTACTGAAAAGTCAGCAGACTTCTCTCTATGCAGAAAGAGTAATTACAGGTCATAGAAAGAGGTTGGTTATGTGATCTTAGACTTACTGGTACATGCCTCAAGCCAACATTTTTAAGTGCTTGGATGTGGTTCAGCTTATCTTTTCCCACTATTGCTTTTGGCTTTTAACTTCTTAGCCACTCTCATTCCAGAATACATATAGCTCATGTGCATTCTAAAGGTCATAGTTAACATCCATGTGAGGTCTCCAATATAGGACAAAATTAATTTATTTTCCATCTATGCTGCTTTCCTATCTTCTTTTGTAGAAAAAAAGTAAAAAATAAAATGAAATGAAATAAATCAAATTAAAGTTAATTTAAGAATTTTCCTCTGAAGGTTTTTTTTTAAATAAAATTCTAATTTAATTTCAGAGGAATATCTTTGATTCTCCTCTGAAAACACTTTTTGACTGCCAGTTCCTTTACTGGCTGAATGTAAGTTAACAAACAGTGACCAGTGGGACCTCTTAGTAATTTAGTATCAAGGTGACACACAATTTTAGTTGCTGGAGCACCTTGCAGCAATGCAATTATTTCCTCTGAGAATTTTATCATTCTCCAAATAGGATAGAGGCTGTACAAGCAGACTGCCCTTTTTTTGTGAAAATACGATTTTTCTTTGCAGTTAATATAACATTGTAGGTACTTATATTCAACTGGAGGGAAAAAAATTCTTGTTTGCTTGATCTGAAAATACTTTTGCTACAAATTACAAGCAGTTTGTGCAGAAAAGTAATGAGTATCCGTATTTACTTTATTCTGCTCTGGGCGATTTTTTTTAGGGCCTGTGGAAATAAAGTGCTGACAATTTTGGATTGTTTTACATGCACTCAGCTTTTGTTTTTCTTTCAGTGTCTATGTTCCCCAAATATTTGGGAAAAAGTTTTACACAATCATCTACCTAAAATCTTCAGTGGTATATAGTCAAAATCAGTGATTATTTTCTATAAAGCTCATTACAATACATAAATATATATTCAACTGGTCAAGTGGTCTTTAACACTAGCAATATTATTTGCATTACAATTTTTGGATTCATTCGCAAGTAAACCTGTTGTTTCACTGTGATGCAATCTGCTACGTCACAGGCTTTTAGTCAGACCATCCAGTGTTGAATCCTGGGTGTGCTGCTTACTACCTGACCAAACTGGGGCAAGTTGTTTTGCCTGCTCCCTCAGTATAAAAAGCATCCACTTCAGAACTGCACTGGGATTGCCTAGAACAGTTCCTAGAAAATTTAAGTGCCAGATATGTGTGTGATTCTTTCTTTTCTCTTGTTCTTCATTTTTCTTCATCTTATTGTTTTTTATAAGTATGATGCTTCAACATCTGCCTTTTTTTTTTTTTTTAAGGCAGCATCATCTTGCTCTGCTGCCTGGGCTGGAGTGCAAGGGTGCTATCATGGCTCACTGCAGCCTTGATCTTCCTGGCTCAAATGATCCTCCCACTTCAACCTCCTGAGTAGCTGGGACCACAGGTGTGTGCCACCATGCTTAGCTAAGTTTTATATTTTTTGTAGAGACAGGGGTTCACCATGTTGCCCTGGCTGGTCTCAAACCCCTGGTCTCAGGTGATCCTCCCACCTCAGCCTCCCAAATTCTGGGCTTACAGGTGTGAGACTCTGCGCCCAGCCCCAACATCTGTCTTATTAATATTTAAACTGTGCTTAAGAAAAGGTTGTAGTTTGAACCTACCTGGAAATATCAAAGAGACATTTTTATTTTATTTGGGGAGAACTACAATTTTGGAGATTTAGAGATGACCTCTTTATTTTTTTGCTACCACTTCTCTTGCACAGGGAAGTTTATTTCCTGGAAGAAAGCATCATGTTCACATTTTCTCATAATCTTTGCTGAGCAGCAATGCTAACATTTTGCTCCTGGTTTGCTTATGGGATTTTCCTTCTGACCTCCAGCTTATTTATTTCTTTATTCTTTGCTCTAATTTATTTGTTCAGGATCAGGTGAATGGGAGCTAAATGCAGTGTTGCTTGTTCTGGTTGACAGACATCAAGCATTTGTGAAGCATACACTGAGTACACTAAGCACCTAACATTGGGTTAACCCCAGAAACAAAATTGGAACAAAATGGTTCCTGCCTTCAAGAAGTCCCTATTCCAAGCAAGGCACACATTTAGCAACACATTAATCCTTTGACGTAAAAATGCATAAATTGTTGTGGATAAGAGAGAGAAAGTTGTTCCAACTTGAAAAAACAAATGGGCTAAGCCCGGGATAAGCATAACCATACGCTGCATTTGGGGATTGCCAAAACAAGAATTGCATCAGACAGGGTAAATAGGCAAGGAAGACTTTATTCAAGGCTATTGTCTTACAGAAAAGAGGCCAAGCTCAGTGTGAATTTAACTCCACTGAAAGGAAGAACATAAGAATTTTTAAGAACTGAGTGAGAGAGGGAATACAGCCTGTTTGGGTTGGCTGATTAGCGTCACCCAAAGGAAAAGTAAACTTTCTCATATCTTGGTGAAGGGAGGTAGTTTTACAGCTTAGAACAAGGTGCCCCCTAAGTTGGGCTTCTACCCTACAGGAGGCACTGGGATAGAGGGGCATCATCTTCCTTGATGTTTATGTTTCCAAAACATCTTTTCCCAGGTCCTTGAAAAAGACAGTTCTGGATGGTAAAAATTTGCAAGAGGCACTTTAAAAAGTTTACGTACATCACAGAGGAATGGAGAAATAATTTACATATTTTCTAAAGTAAATGCTCTAAGAAAAGGATCAGGACTAAAGTCTGATCATGCCGAGGGGCTCATTAAGGCTGTCTTAGGTGGGATCCACACCCTGGGGCACAGGAGTCTGGTCGGAAGAGGTGGCCAAAGACGAAAAGGTGTCCAGGCCAGATCACGGGTAATCGTGGAAGTCCTGATATGGGGTTCAGACAGCATGCTTTAGGAACCAGGAATCACTGAAAGATTTTAAGCATGGGAATGGAATCATTAAACTTATACATTTAAAAAGTAGAAACATTTGCATATTTTTATGATAGAAAAATTGAAAGAGATAAAATCAGTCAGAGGAGGAATAAAAAATATAAAGGGAATTATCCTTCTTGGTCCCTAAAAATCTGTGATGTGGGTGTTTATTATTCCCACTTTCATATGATAAATCAGAGACTCAGAGTACTCTAATATCTTTTCCAAATGTTATATACTTAGTAAATGTGGGCAGTTTCAAGCTCAAGCTGTCTCCCAGTGAGCCCGAGAGCTTCTCACTTGGCAGTGGGGCTAGTGAATCAGTGGCCATCAAACAAAACGTGTTGTGGGTTTGCTTTGCCAGATAGGAGACACCATGTGAATGGCGGGGTACGGTTATTCTGGAAGTACGGCACTGGCGGGGTACGGTTATTCTGGAAGTATGGCACTGGCGGGGTACGGTTATTCTGGAAGTATGGCACTGGCGGGGTACGGTTATTCTGGAAGCATGGCACTGGCGGGGTACGGTTATTCTGGAAGCATGGCACTGGCGCGGTACGGTTATTCTGGAAGTATGGCACTGGCGCGGTACGGTTATTCTGGAAGCATGGCACTGGCGCGGTACGGTTATTCTGGAAGCATGGCACTGGCGGGGTACGGTTATTCTGGAAGCATGGCACTGGCGCGGTACGGTTATTCTGGAAGCATGGCACTGGCGGGGTACGGTTATTCTGGAAGTATGGCACTGGCGGGGTACGGTTATTCTGGAAGTACGGCACTGGTGCGGTACGGTTATTCTGGAAGTACGGCACTGGCGGGGTACGGTTATTCTGGAAGTACGGCACTGGTGCGGTACGGTTATTCTGGAAGTACGGCACTGGCGGGGTACGGTTATTCTGGAAGTATGGCACTGGCGCGGTACGGTTATTCTGGAAGTATGGCACTGGCGGGGTATGGTTATTCTGGAAGCATGGCACTGGCGGGGTACGGTTATTCTGGAAGTATGGCACTGGCGCGGTACGGTTATTCTGGAAGTATGGCACTGGCGCGGTACGGTTATTCTGGAAGTACGGCACTGGCGGGGTACGGTTATTCTGGAAGCATGGCACTGGCGGGGTACGGTTATTCTGGAAGTATGGCACTGGCGCGGTACAGTTATTCTGGAAGTATGGCACTGGCGCGGTACGGTTATTCTGGAAGTATGGCACTGGCGCGGTACGGTTATTCTGGAAGTATGGCACTGGCGGGGTATGGTTATTCTGGAAGCATGGCACTGGCGGGGTACGGTTATTCTGGAAGTATGGCACTGGCGCGGTACGGTTATTCTGGAAGCATGGCACTGGCGGGGTACGGTTATTCTGGAAGTATGGCACTGGTGCAATTATGGAAGACTGCAAAGTAAATCACATCAATGTCAGATGGATTAAGACGGACGTCAGCTCCTTCTGGGGTCCTGGCCAATGTGAGCTTCTTTTGGTTTCTTAGGTCAAATGAGATAATGCATATAAAACAGCTTTACAACCTGCAAAATCCTAAGAGATGAAGGCTATTGCTTTCACATTAGAATAATATAAATTGTTTATAAATCAGTTTCCATTTTAAGTGCACTAGGGCGGATTATATTCAGTGGCATCCCATCATGAATTATTTATAAAGTGAGGAATTTCTTCCTGTTGTATAATTGTGGAGTTTCACATTTTTTTGGGCTGTCTGTGGATGACTACAAAACCCTCTTTGAAATCCAGAACATCGCTTTGAGAAAACATCTATTTAAATATGCATCGTTTGAACTGTTTTGTGTTGCAGGTTATGGAAAATGCACTTAAGTTGTTTTAAACAACAAAGTTAATTTACTGTGTTTTGTAACTAAAACTCTGGCAGTAGAGGAGGCTTTATGTCCCAACTCAAACAGTGTATCTGGGGTTGTGTTTCATTCTGACTCTTCCCTCTGCCGCACTCTGCGGTGGTTTCATTTTAGCCCTGTGGGTGTGGCATGAGCTCCTGTCACTCTTCCTCCAGCCCTTCCTGATGCCACAGAAAAATGGCTTTAACGTCCTAGACCTCAATTCTTACATCACATAGTTCAAAATAAGAGAGAAGTTCTCTCTCAGGATCTCCTTTGAAAAATGGAGGAAATTTCTCTTTCTTAGAAGACCTCAGCAAATATCTCACAGAAGAGAACCTCAGTGTTCTTTGATTAATGGATATTCCCCAAAACCAATCAGTGTGACCAGAAAATGGGCTTCATTGACTGCTGTAAGACAGTCATCCCTCCTTTACTCCACCCCTGCAGCTGAGCTGGCTCAGCCCTCCCACAACCACCTGGGTATAGTGGTTTCCTGAAGAACAGGTAGCTAGCTATGCTGGGAAGCAAAGAGAGGACATTCCCTGCAACTCTCGTTGTAAATTGCCTTTGTATTAGCTTGGTGGGTTCTATCAGAACTATCCAAACATAAATTCAGCAGATTTCTATCAAATAGATCGATTTCCTTTGGCATTTCGTTTTGAATTACTTTGAAGTTTGTCAGATCCATCTCCAAGAGTTTTATTATGCACTCATTTATATTTTCTTCAGACTATTTTTGGTTTAATTAATAGCTTAGTGTTTTGCTTAGTTGTATCTGGAGTCCAGGAAGGCTTTATGTTTTCCCACTTTTCCTAAGTTCTCATCATTCTTTATTGAAAAACTGTTCTTCTTTGTGCTGTTTTCTTTAACATGTATATATATCAGTTTGGTATTTGTTTTGCTGTACTTATTTATTGACTATTCTTCCTCTAAAACTTTTGCTTGACTGTTAATCAATTTTTTAAATATTTAACTTGCTTGTATTTTGACATTAAAGTCAAAGTATTTACATGGTGGTTTTTAAATCAAGGATAAACAAGATTAAAATCTCCTTCCCATGCCTGAAAACTCCGATGCCATTTCCCAGAGATAATAATTTGTCATATTTCTTTCCATAAATGTTCAATTTTTCATTCACACATATGCATAAAAATGCACAAAGAGGAACTTACCCTGCACACTGTTCTAAATCGTGATCCTTACAAACAATATATGAAAGCTATTTCTGTAGTAGCAAGTAAAAATCTTTCTTATTCTTTATAATAATTAGAGTATATGACTTTATGGATGTGCTATAGATTATTTAGCTGGCACTCTTTTAAAAATTATTGCCATTGTATAATGCTGCAGTGAACATTCAGGCTTTTAATACAGCTGTCCCCAACCTTTTTGGCACCAGGGATTGGTTTTGTGGAAGACCATTTTTCCACAGACAGGAGTTCCCCAGGCTCAGGGGGTAGGGGAGATGGTTTTGGGGTGAAACTGTTCCACCTCAGATCATCAGGCAGTAGATTTCCCAGAAGGAATGTGCAGGTCACAATAGGGTCACGTTCCTGTGAGGATCTAATGCTGCTGCTGATCCAACAGTTGGCGGAGCTCAGGCAGGGCAGTCATGCTTCCTGGCCTCCTGCTGCCCAGGTCTTCACAGGCCACAGATCAGTAGTGGGCCATGGCCCGGGGCTTGGGAACCCATTTTAATATGTCTTTATTCATGTGCAAGTAAATTATTAGAAATAGTGTCTTTGGGTGGATAGCTGGATCAGAAGATATGTGTATCATGAGTTTGGGAGAGCTCAATTGCCCTCCAAAGAGGCTGCATAATCACATCTTTCCAGCAAGAAGACAGGGCGGTGCTGAGATTTAGACTCTAAAACAGCATGTCCAACACTTCAGCTTTGCCAACAGGAAGGGGAAAACAAGGATCTTACCCTTTACATGTGTATCCGGTTAGTGATATATTTATAATATTATTTTCATATGTTTCATTTGTTTGTATTCCATTTGTCTTTCATCTGTGAGCTTTCTCCTTGCATGTCTGCCTTTTTTGTAAATGAGGTATTGGCCTTTTCCTATAGGTTTATAGAAACTTTTATCCATTTTGGGTATTAGCCTTTGGCCTGGTCTGGGTTGAAAACATGCATTTCTCTAATTTGTGCTTCCCTTTCAACTTTGCTTATGGTGGGGTTTGCCTCATGATAGTTGAGAACATTTTTGTGTGTTAAAGTTTTTTGCTCTTTTCCTTCCTGCCTTCTGGCATTTGTTTACATCACTATCTTGATAATTCCTGCACTAAAATAGGCGTTAATATCTGGTCCCTTGTTAGTTTTTCAGGGTTTGTCTGGCTGTTTTGGCAAGTTTCTTCTTCCATATGTCTTTGAAATCAGAAGGCTGAGCTTCCCCAAAATCCAGTGGATATTTTTATTGGGAATTTTCAAAAGCATAAACCATAGAGAGAGAGAGAGAGGGAGAGAGAGAGAGAGAGAGAGAGAGAGAGAGAGAGAGAGAGAGACAGAGAGAGAGAGAGAAACAGAAGAGGGGAAAACACCAACATCATTTTGGAAGCTGGATGGCAGATGTACAGTAGTAGCTAATGTTGCATGAGCAAGAAACATTAATTCTAAACTAGAAATGGGCAAAGTCATGAAGGAAACCACACGATTCAGTGAAGCCATGACAAGATAATCTCAAAGTGGAGGAGGGAAGGCTACAGCCGGGAGGGTTGGCACTTGCACACAGTGTCCTGGAATCAAACATCCGCGAAGAGGGTCAAACAGAAGTTTGCTGGATGGGAAAAACCACGACTATCAAGTAATTACTTAAATGTACTTAAAATTAGTCAAATTTCCTTAAAATTCCCTTCCACCTTGTTTTAGAGTCTTTTAAACAAAGACTTCCCCTATCTCTATCATAGTGGATTGTTGGGGAGGATATGGGGCTTTAGAAAATTTGGAGGCCCCTCTTTAATGAATTTTCAAAGTTCCAGGTGACCATGTGTACACATTGTGAGGGTCTCTGACAGGACCTGGAAGGTACCATGCCTATGAGAAGCCCCCTCAACACCCCTACCAGCTCCCTTCATGTACGCCTCATTCTGGGGTCACTTGTTCATGTCACTCTCCTCCTCACCCTGGCTCCTTTAGGTTTGCTAACTGACTTTCACTGTCTTGCTAAATTAAGCTCAATCTATTTTAGGTTTTAGCTAAATAAGCCAGGCCCTATTTTCATCACTAAATTTTGTTATTCACACTCTTTTATTCCCTTATCTTTTGGAAAAACATCAAATAAAATTCTGATCAGCATCTTCTCTACACTACTTAAGATGGAATTTGTGATAGTTATTTATAATTTCTTAACTAACTCTAGGCATTGAAGCAAACTTGATCGGGTAGAGTGATATTTACATATTCAGAATAAAGTATGTTTAGAAAATATATATGAGATAAGATTATTCTAAAAGAAAACAAAAGAACCATAATCCTTTTGAGGTACCAATCAATTCTTATAAAAAATTTTAGTTCATAATTACTAGTATACTTTTCCCATAACATAGTTTGCTCTGCAAAAATTGTTGAGAAAAAAATTAGGACTATTATTAAGTACTTTCTGATTTGTCTTAAAGAAGCTTAAAATCTTCTTGTTGGAATACTTATTGATATCTGTAGATAGGCTGATTCATTTCAAAGTAAAAAAGAATTTATAAATTATTCACTTACTTAAAGAATTCATACACCTCTCATTTAATGGAAGATTTCCCCAGAAGATGCTGTTGTGTACACATGTTATGGTATGATCTAAAATTTTGTGTCCCTCTAAAATTTGTCTATTAAAACATTATCCTCTAAGGTATGGTATTAAGAAGTATGGCCTTTGGGAGGTGGTCAGGTCATGAAGGCTCCACTCTCATGAATGGAATTAGTACCCTTATAAAAGAGGCCTAGGGAGCCTGTTCAACTCTGTCATCATGTAAGGACACATAGAAGGGACCATCTATGAGGACAGTTTCTCACCAGACGCCTAATCTGCTGATGCTTTGATCTTGGATTTTTCAGTCTCCATTACTGTGAGCAACATTTCTGTTGTGGATAAATTACTCAGCCTAAGCTTATTTTGTTACAACAACCTGAACTAAGACATATTGTGTTTATGTATTGTAAGTGTACTCTTGGTATACACCTATCATGCTATAATACACATGCATAGACCACACATGATTTTCTGGTCACCAACCAACTCCTGATTCTTTTTCATGACTAAAATTTCTTGCGTCATTATTTCTCTTTTATTGAGTGTTCATTTTAAAATATTTTTCTCTGCTTATACCCTTCTTTTCTGTGTCAGAATTGTATCTGGAAGTATTAAGTTAGTAGAATCAGAAAACTCATTGTAGGTTCAGAAAAAGGGAAGCTCTAGTTGAGTGAGTGAGGAAGAAGGACTCAGTCTATGGGGTAGGAATGGTTGGTAGGGTTGGTAGGAGTGATGAACAGGACGGCTATCCCTTTAAAGAGAACAGCTAGGGGACTCCACGGTTGGAGAATAAGTCACTGCTCTTTTAATTTTGTTTGATTATAGAAAATTGTAATCATTGTTTTCTTTTGTGTAAGAATTAGACCAAAATTCCCAGAGCTTATTCAAGGGACCAGCCTGCCCAACATGTGATGGGAGATGAAATAGTGCTACTGCCCTCCAGCCTGGGTGACAGAGCAAGACTTTGTCTTAAAAAAAAGTTACAGTATAATTGCCTTTTATTTAAATAGCTGAATTTTTAAATAATCTGTCAAATAATAACTGTACACTCTGAAGTATTTTACATGTATAATTTTATTTATGCTTTCAACAACTCTCTAAGTGCTATTGTTTGACTCATTTTACAGCAGAGGAAAGAGAGGCTCAGAGGAATCTTTTCTAAGAGTCACACTGCAGTGGAGAGTGTCCTCTCATCCAGGTCTTCTGATTCTAAAACATATTCTGTTAATCAATCACCTCTATTGCAACCATTCTATTCAAACAGTAAGAACTTTGTAAATTACTGGAACACTGAAGCAAGTTTCATTTTAGCATAACAGATCAATTATAGACTATCTGAACAAAGACTGGAGTCATGCATGTAAAAACTGCTCAACAAAACATCATGGGGTAGTTATTTTTAGCCAATGTATTTTATCAAAATGTTAGAGTGAAATTAAATTAGCAACAATGCATCTGAAATATTTATATAGTTTAAATACTACTCTAAAATGTTAATTTTATTCATCATTGTATATAATATGCATTGGTTATTTATGTATTAAAATTTGAGTTAGTTTAGTGTTTATTCCCATGTATGTCTCTCTGTATATCTTCAATGAGTTGTTCTATCTTGGCCTGGCTAATTTGCTGATTCTCTTTAACCTTATGGAGACCTGACTATGGGGCTATTACAGACAGGAGTCCTATAAGAAATCTGTCTGCGGCCGGGCGTGGTGGCTCAAGCCTTTAATCCTAGGACTTTGGGAGGCTGAGGCGGGTGGATCACGAGGTCAAAAGATCGAGACCATCCAGGTCAACATGATGAAACCCCGTCTCTACTAAAAATACAAAAAATTAGCTGTACATAGTGGCGCGTGCCTGTAGTCCCAGCTACTCAGGAGGCTGAGGCAGGAGAATTGCCTGAACCCAGGAGGCGGAGGTTGCGGTGAGCCGAGATTGTGCCATTGCACTCCAGCCTGGGTAAGAAGAGTGAAACTCCGTCTCAAAAAAAAAAAAAAGAAATCTGTCTGGGATCACATATATAGAGCACTTAGTTCAGGGCCACACACAGAGAAGTCTTTGAGAGACAATGATAATGGGTTTTACTAAATTAGCAATTTATAGCCAGCATGCTGGGCACTACTCTTTTCTCTTGATTGTGGTAATATTTAAAACCAACCCACTATAATATATGCAAGTGTCAAAAATCTGGATTTTTACAAGATGATGTGAGACCTAATTTGAAGTATGCATTCAAGTATGGTGTTTACTAATTGTCAGCTTTAAAAAGTATGTGTCTTTGAAGTGCAAGGTGAGCAGAAATTATAGAGAGGGAGATGGCCATAGTGAAAATTCCTGTTCCTGGTTAATAATCTAACTATCACTCCACTTTTGATAAAATTATATTCTCATACTGTATTCCCGGAACATGAATTTTCAGTCCCAGGAATTATATTTTTACTCACTTACAAGAAAGCAGATAGTGTTCTGTTGTGTGAAATACTAGACAACACAAGAATCACATATACTTCCATTTAGGTCATCTGCTTGAGTGATTTTCTTCAAACCTGCTTCTAATCTCTACTACTCTTAGGATCACAGGTACGATTTTACTCATGATGATTATTATTTTAGACATTTCTTTTTAAGGGACATTTTTTCTCTATTTTATATTTCTTGTAAGTGAAATTTGTGTTTCATTCTTCATCTTAGGTTTTGTTTTTCAAGTACAAATATATACGTTATTCATTTTTTGGGTGCTCAATAGTTTATCCTTGCTCTTTCTCTACAAGTTGATACTATTTTAGAGAAGAAACCATTTCTTCTACTTTTGTGTACCCCAAAGCTCCAAATTTGTTTTTATTAATTTCCAGTAGACATCAAATCAGGAAACATAAAATAAGTGAAAATTGAATTTCATAGAGCTAACACATTAAGTTCTAAATATAGGAGGCATAATAGATAAGTGTTAATGGTCATCCTTTCCTGAAATATTAATAGGCCTTTAATCTTGTCATTATCAAGGGCTTTGTGCCCTTTCTAAGGTGAATTAAGCCTTTTTCTATATCACAGGATTTGACTAAAAATTTAATTATTTATATAATACAACCCTATTATAACAAAGCTCATTATTCAAGTCTACTAATATATATTAAGTACTCATTTTCCATTAGAACTATGCAAGGTGCTCTGAGGACAGAAATTAAAAGACAAAATGGTCACAATTTGGGAGATTTTTAATGTATCTTGATATATGGTAGCCCAAAGATTACCCTCTGACATATTAAAATCTCATATTGCAAAAATCTGAACTGATATGTAAGGCTTGTGGTCTAATGGAGGACATAAGGGACACAAAGAGATAATTTAATATTGAGTGTTTTTTTCTCAGCTGGTGACCTGTTGTGCTGAATTTCAGATGAACAGCACTTGGCTGATTTTAGGGTTCAGGAACACATTGCTGGCCATGTGAGGCCTTATCTGAGGCTTGGGAGAGAGTTTGTATAAACAATGAAGTTTTAGAAGACTTTCGGAGCACAAGACGGTATGAACAAAATGGATATAAATATGTGTGGATTCAGAACCCTAATTGTTTCATATAGAAGAAGGGTAAAATGGTTGTAGATGAAGATAGAAATTCTTTGAATTTAGACTATTAATGAGAAAGACGATGAACCAGGCTTTGCGGGGGTAAAACTTCTCAGTATCAGTTACTTAGCCTAACACAAGTTGATTTCTTGATCAGGAAGTCTGCTGGATATCAAGGCAAATCACCAGCATGGTTACCTTCCATTAAATGACACCACAATCTGGGATGGTTTGGTATTGTGCTTGCGCCATCTCAACCCAACACCTTCTGGATGCCATAATGTTAGATGAGGGAAACTAGAGAATCAGACAATGCTGCATTTTAAGTATACTCTCTGAGTATACAACATTATCTAGATTTTTTATATTTAGTAATTTATGTAGACAGAGAATTAGTTGAAAATAACTGAACCCATACTTAATGACAAATAATATATTTAATACTATATATCTTTTTATATAACACGAATTAAAAGAAGAATCCTTATATCAAATGCTGGATTTTTCTCACTAAAAAACATGTGAAATATAAGTGAGGCAAGTAGCTAAATGATGGTACAACTTAATTAGGCATACTAATCTCTTTCTTCAAAATATTTTTATTTTTAATCACAATATTTGAAATCTGCTTCTTAACACAAATAATGAGCTGTCTATCTTCCATAAAGTAAAAATCCCAGGTGGGGTCAAAAGCCATCTCAAAAGTCTTGGGGTGCATAAAATTCTAGGATGAACTTGCTCCTTTCATGGGAGTGTGAGCTGCAGATAGGATATTGGAGTCCTGAACAAGAGAAAGAAAGGGAAGTAAAAAGGGAGAATTTGGTGGACGTCTTATGGCTAGGGCTACTGTAACAAAGTACCACAAACTGGGTGGCCTGTACCACAGAAAGTTATTATCTCACAGTTCTGGAGGCTGGACACATACAACCAAGGTGTCAGCAGGACTGGTTCCTTCTGAGGGCTGTGAGGAAGGGATCGACTTCAGCCTCTTTCCTTAGCTTGTAGGTGACCATCTTCTCCCTCAGTCTCTTCAGGTCATCTCCCTGTATGTGTGTCTTTGTCTAAATTTCCCATTTTTATTTAATATTGTACTACTAAGGCCAGCCCTACTGACCTCATCTTAACTTGATACCACAGTAAATACCTTATTTCCAAATAAGGTCACATTTTGAAGTACTGAGGGTTAAGACGCCAACATATATATTTATTTAAGGTGACAACATTTCAGCTTAAAAGAGTGGATTTTGATGTAAAAACAGGCTATTCTTAGAATAAAAATATAATATATTCAGGGGAAACAAATCATTCTTTTGGATATTGGATAAATTAATTTTCAGAAAGGTTTATTCTACATTTGACAGAAAACACAAAAATATCTGGATACATTATCTGGCATTTTTTTCCAGAATGAGAAAGCAGTTTGGAATCTGGCTGAATATCAAAGATCATCAGGCAATGTGGATGTATTTTTCAGGAGCCTCAGGTCTAGGGTTAGACCAACTGGTATTGAGGCTTGTAAAGATGTGTATTTATTGAGAGACCTTAAGGAAAATGTGCATTTATTGAGAGACCAGAAGCCTGTTTCTGAATCTGTGAGTAGGAATAAAATAAAACTTACTCTCAAGGTTACCATAAGACTTAAATTTAATCCTCTTTGCCAAAACATTTAAATGAATTCCTGGCACACCATGAATGTAAACTATTTGTATTACTATTATTCATATTTTTCTGTTGAACTATATGTTTGAGAAGTCTTATGGCTCAGTCTCAAATATGAACAAAGGAGAACCATATAGCACCAAAGAATAATGTCAAAATACTTTTCATGAACCATGGACAGTTATATGGCTCATGCAGTATTTCTAAGAATCCTTATTTTCTTACTTGTTTTTCTCTCTTTCTGCTACTTTTCTGCTGTTTGTCAATTCAAAATCTCTGAAATTCCTTCCCAGACTCGCGCTTCCTCCTCCAATGCAAAACTCCATTGAACTTGAAGTGGCAGAGCTCTGCCTAGAGAGTGTGAGGAAGACTACACACTCAGCCAGCAAGGCCCTCATTGGTGGACAAGTAAAGAGGACAATCGTGGAATATTCATATTTTAACAATAATTGTGTTGCCGCAATGGTTATTAGCAGCATCAAGGCCCGGTGCACTGCATGTGTGTGACCTACACAGTGCTAAGAGTGAACTGCATTCTGCCTCTGGCTTACGCCAGAGTTACTGCAGTAACACAAGGAGGCAATGCTGTCCTGCAAATAGCTGGCCCATTTTTGGCTTTTCTGTGAACATGAGATGACTTTTCCTATCAAAAGGGCTTTAAAATCTCCCACTAGCTGTTCCAGGCATTGCAAAAAAGACCCCAGCCTCTTGGGAGCACACAGTTACCTAAGAGAACTACAACAGTTCAGAATGAAAGGGCATTGCTGCAGAGAGAGTAGACCAAGCCCTCAGCAGGATGCACAGGTTTTATTTTAAAACGTGACCCTCCCCATTTCTGGCTTAAAAAATGCAAGAGCCGAGACCATTTGTGACCAGAATGGAGGATCCTGGAGAAGAAAACAGACATTCTAACCCAGACTACTCCATGTGGGATAGCACTTGGCCAGGATGCACAGAGTAAGCTCCCTACAAAGCCAAATGAGTGGGTACCCAAGCCAAATTCTAGTAACATGGGACAAAAACATACAAATGAAAGAATGAGAAATAGAAGAGACAGAGGTAGGGGAAATATGGAAAGAGTATTGACAGTTGTCCATTTTAGAATTTCTTTGTGTTTGGTTTAATTGGTTAAAAAAATCACATCATTACTTAATAATAATAATATAATTCAGAAATTTAAAAAGTGTGTTAGTCTTGTATTTTTGCCCTAGAGGAGAGAAAGTTGGATTATTGAACTTTGTAGATTAAAACCAGATCCCCAAGATCCTGTATTATTTCATTAACAGGAAAAAGGAAAACAGAATGTGATACCAGAACCCTCTCCAGCTTCTCTGGCTTTATTGAATATTTTGTTAGTGCCACATTTACACACAGGGTTCCAGAGAGGAACCTTCTCCTGGGTCATACTCTTTATTCTTGTAAAATGTACAGGTTTTGACTTAAGTGAAAAACTAATTAGCCTAATTTTTTACCCATATCTTTGCCACAGTGTAGAGATGCAGACAGTACCATAGAGATCCGTAAATCTCTATGGATGATGCTGCCAATGCCTCCGCAAGAGCTTGTTTTGCCTTATTTATCATTCTAGGTGCTGTGATTGTTTTCCTGTTCATTTTACACTTCGTTTTCCATTATTTTAAACAAGAACTTGTCCTTGAAATTAATAATATCTGGGGACATGTGTAAGCTTAGCTTCCATTCCAATCTATAGGAGAGTGGTGCAGAGATCAGCTATATTTTAATGACATTTTATGTTAAAAAGATGGTTAGGGAAAAAAGTCAGAAGACGATTTTTAGCCTAATCATGAATGGTCTTAGTCAGAACCTTACCTCCCACAGCCTGTTAATGTTAGGTATATGAAACAGAAAACTCAAAGACAGACAGACCTGGACCTCATTAGAGAACAAAAGCAAGAGGAACTAATGTCAGTAGCAGGCTGTGGGATGAGGGATGAGAGGCGGAATGAAAATGAAGCAGAAGGGAATATTGAGGAAAAGGGCCCACAGCAGGGCCAGCGCTGATATACTGGAGAAGGTGCCTTGATTTCCGCTGCCTCCCAAGTGTCTTTGACAGATTTAATATTCTCTGGGTTTCATGAAATAGAGGGCAATGTCAATTAAAGAACATTTAGCTAGAGATCATGAAGGGATTAGTAATCATATTAAATAGGTTGAGAATTTGTTTCTTTTTCTAGGTACGTGGGCTGAATCATTTTTGACCATCTTCTATCTTTAAGCTTGGGAATATAATGAAATTGTAATTTTTTAATGCTTGGGGAGGTTAGAATAGTGAAGTGAATTACTCACTTTCCCCTCTAAACACAGGAAGAACCTTATCTCTGCTTGCATGAGGTCGTTCCTCCTGCCTGCCATGTCTTCTGAGTCTCAGTTCAAATGCCATATCTAGTCTGGAGGACCTGTTAGTCCATGCAGAGAACATTGAGGAACCCACTCTTCTTATTCATGTGATTGTACATGTCTGTTATGATCTTTATAAATTAGCACTAGAGTTGGAGTTATTTGTGTGTTTTCTTTCCGTGTGAGGCCCAGTGGGGAAGGAATCACATCTTGCAGTTGTTCTAACTTCCCAGAGGTTAGTATAGTGCATAAATAAAGTAAGAGTTTCAGAAATATCCTCAAAGCAGAAGAGCAAGAAGGGCAAGGTCTTGAACACAAAGAGGCCTCATAAAACTCAGATCCACAAGAGGAACAGCTTCATTTAGCAACTCTTGTTGTCCACTGACTAACCAGGTAAATCCCGAAGTTGTGATTTCTCCCCCTCAGCCTTTTCTTTCCCCGAATTTCCAGGGTCTGAAAGAAAACTGAAGTTTGCACTCAGAAACTCTGGATTTATGGTGAGGTCAGTGAATACAGATATTTTGGGTTTTCCTTTGTTGAGGAGGGGGATGGACTTAGGTACAGAGAAAATCCTCCCTTTAGTCCAAAGCTGTTCTCTTCTGAGTCCCTTTTCTCAACATAACCTTTTCTGTTTTCTCTGGCCTCCACCAGAAAGACCTCCTTAATGGTTATGCTCACAGCACAAGGTGGAATGTCACAAAATTGATATGGGTTTAATTATGAAGCCACAAATAAAACACGTGCTAGGAAATAAAACCAAATACTTCATAAAACAAGGATTTTTGAGGCACACATGGAACAAGTTTTAAATAACAATTGATGGAGGGGGGAGGACTCAAGATGGCGCTGTGAGAACAACCCAGGATTGGAGTTCTCATTGTGTCTGCGGAGAGGTGAGTCTGAGCTGCATTTCCAGACTGATCTTTGTTGCTCACGGAATGGGGAAATTCCCAAGTGAAGAGGAGACGCGGGACGCCAGGCAGATATTCCGCCCGGCGAAGTCGGCAGCCAGGGTGGCGGCGGCCGGCCCTACCCAGCGCTCCCCACAGGGCGCACTTGTCCGGGTGCCCCGTTGAACCGGCAACTGGAGACGTGAGAGGGCTGGACTTGAGACTGAGCTAGACTTGAACAGTGGGCCAGCCCAGGGGATTGCAGGAACAGAGCGTTAGGATTGGCCCAGTGGGAAGAACAAAACCGCGATTTCAAACAAGCCCCGTGCAGACGGCCCGAGACGCTCTGAGGGGGAGAGGCGGCCACCATTACTGAGGTAACCCGCCCCAACTGAGATACACGCCTATTGCTGACGCAGCCAGCCGTTGCCGAGGCAACCCGTCCCTACTGAGATACACGCCCACTGCTGACGCAGCCAGCCGTTGCCGAGGCAACCCGTCCCTACTGAGATACACGCCCACTGCTGACGCAGTCTGCCATCGCCCAGGCAACCCGCTACAACAGAGAGACTCCGCCGCAGGGCGTGGTGGAGAACAGCAGAACAGCAGAGCCAGGGCGAGCCTCACAACAGCAGGGCGGAGCCTCGGCAGGCAAACAGTGGCTAGTCTGCATCCTAGCTGGGCAGGACCTCAACGGACATCCAAAAATAAAGCCCAAACCCCTCAACACAGAGCATTTGAGAAAAAAAAGGGTTTTTTTAATGAGCTCTGTTGCAGCAGAATCAAACATAGCAGCCTAACAGCCCTGAATGAGCAACACAGCTCACAGCTCAGCAATTAAACCCCTATAAAGTACAAACTGTCTCCTCAAGCAGCTCCCTGACCCCTCTATATCCAAAAGACTGACATTAGGCAGGCACCATCGTGGGACAAAGATAGCAGAAAAAGAAACTGGTAGCATCCCTCGCTGTGCCACAGCTGCTAGAGGTGCACCCCAGACAAGCAGGGTCTGGAGCGGACCTCAGCACTCGTACAGCGAAGGGGCTAGACCGGTAGAAGGAAAACCAAGCAACAGAAATACTTCATCATCAACATTCAGGGTGTCCACTCAGAGACCCAATCGAAAAGTCAGCAACTACGCAGACGACCAGCGGACAAATCCGCAAAGATGGGAAGAAACCAGCGCAAAAAGGAGGAAAACACCCGAAACCAGAACACCTCGCCTCCTAGAAAGGACCAAAACTCCTCACCAGCAAGGGAACAAAGCTGGACGGAGAATGACTGTGACGAAATGACGGAATTAGACTTCAGAAGATGGATAATGAGAAACTTTGGTGAGCTAAAAGATCATGTATTAAATCAATGCAAAGAAACTAAGAACCTTGAGAAAAGATTTGAAAAAAGATTCGAGGAAATGATAACAAGAATGGATAACTTAGAGAGGAATATGAATGAATTAAAGGAGCTGAGAAACACAATACGAGAACTTCGCGAAGCGTGCACAAGTTTCAATAGCCGAATTGACCAAGCAGAAGAAAGAATATCTGAAGTCGAAGACCAACTCAATGAAATAAAACGAGAAACCAAGATTAGAGAAAAAAACGCAAAAAGGAATGAACAAAGTCTCCAAGAAATGTGGGACTATGTGAAAAGACCTAACCTACGTCTGATAGGTGTACCAGAAGGGGACGAAGAGAATGAATCCAAGCTGGAAAATACTCTTCAGGACATCATCCAGGAAAATTTCCCCCACCTAGCAAGACAGGCCAACACTCAATTGCAGGAAATTCAGAGAACACCACAAAGATATTCTGCAAGAAGACCAACCCCAAGGCACATAATCGTCAGATTCAATAGGGTTGAAATAAAGGAGAGAATACTAAGGGCAGCCAGAGAGAAAGGTCGGGTCACCCACAAAGGGAAGCCCATCAGACTCACAGCAGATCTCTCAGCAGAAACACTACAAGCCAGAAGAGAGTGGGGGCCAATATTCAACATTCTTAAAGAAAAGAACTTTCAACCCAGAATTTCATATCCAGCCAAACTGAGCTTCAGAAGTGAAGGAAAAATAAAATCCTTTGCGAACAAGCAAGTACTCAGAGATTTTGTCACCACCAGGCCTGCTTTACAAGAGCTCCTAAAAGAGGCACTACACATAGAAAGGATCAACCAGTACCAG